CACTTCAAACCAAAGGCTAAAAGCTGACATTTGCCTTTTTCTTAGTTGTACTATGTAGATTAAAATCAATGTAAAGTTTGCTCCCATTAGCAAATTTCAAGTGTGGTATTGTGCAATCCAGTTTAACTCAGACAAATGCTGATTGGAGTTTGAGCTTCCAGAGGATATCTGCAGGAAATTTGCTGAGAAGTTTGTACAGTAAATTCAACCCGTTGTTCTCTACTGAAAATTAGTTCTGTATAATGTTTTCCGTATTTCGTTCTGAATCTTTGTAGAGATTGCTAAACTTAAGCAGTGGAAGAAAATACCTACTTCTGACTCACCACTTCTCCCCGTGAAAGCCATGGTTGGGCCACACAAGTGCATCCAAAGAACGTGGAGGCTGACAGGACCATCAGTGCTGTGCAGGTTGCAATACAGCCCTGCACATTTCAATAACACTCCAGTTCTTTTTCACTGGGGCAGTTGTGGGCAAATATATCACTGATAGCCCTGCATTTTTTTAGTGGACTTTAGGGATTGACAGCTTTAGAGTACAAGCATGAAAATCCTGAGTCTTTTTACACTGCTGTCAAATAATGTAGCATTTTATGTATCTTGTTGCTTTCTCATTCATGCAACAAATATGTGATGATTTTGTACTGATTTTGTAATGCAAAAGAAAGTAGAAACCCTATGTGAATTCAGGTTTCACCTTCTGACTCAACTCTCCCACCAGTGAACAGTTTTGCTATTTAAATATATCTTTATTTTAATTTATGTATATTCTAATACTTTTAGGGATTTTTAGATACATGCAATAATATTTTATACACAGTTTTCAAGTCATTGGTATAATATTTACATGTAAGAAACCTTTTATTTCAAGATGCAAACTCCCTGGTTTTTTTTAATTGTTTTTTGATCTAAAGTGATGTTTTTAGACAGCTAGTCGATTGAAACAAAAGAGATCCCTTTTGTGTGGAATCTCTTACTTGTTTTCATATTTTGCATGCCGTCTGGTATGCCCAACTCTTCAATTACCTCATTGCTAATTTCAGCTTAGTTATTAGATATATTTTACAATTATACAGTGTGTGCTTTTGTGCCTTTGACAGCAAAACTCACACTTTCCTCACTACAGGAACCTACTCCCTGAACTGTTGATTAATTGCTAGCTCAACCCTCACCTCCCAGTCTTTAGGATATGTTCTGGAGAAGCCTAATGCCCTGACCATCTGTCTTCATCTGAAATATTTTAGTGTTGGAATTCCTAATACTATTGTAGAAGGGAACTGAGTAAAATATAAACTGTCACAGACTTCACAAATAAGTCACCCTTTACACAAATAAGGCACCATGATCTCTGAGCAATGGCTAATTGCTAGGCCTGCTAATGACTGTGAGAGCCCTGTGGGGGACCCATGGCTGAGTCAATGGGGAGATGTGGGCCCTGGGGAAGGACCCCTCTGGGGACAGTGATTTGTGTGTTTGGCCTCCCCATGCTGAAACTCAAGGTCGGACCTACAGCAGGCAGCATTTACAGCCATAGCAGTTGTATTTATCGATTACTCTTCAAGTATTTGGAAAAAACCCAAACAAATCCAAATCAAATGTCTACATATTTGGTTAAATTATTATTAATTGAAAGACCTAAAGCTGCTGTTATTATCAGCCACTGAAGGGAAAATCCTTGACAATTATATTCTGCAATTTGACTCTGGACAGAATCATCCAGATATCAAAGTGCTACTCAAGCTCATTAGTGCTCCCTGCTGTCCCTAAATATACCTTTGTTTCTGGCAGCAGTTCCTAGGTAAGTAGGCTACTGTCCTTTAGGCCATCCACATGCTCTCATCCCAAAGCAAAGTCATTCAGTAACCGATTAGATGAATAAAGAATGGGAATGTGGCTATTGCACTGAGTGGTTCTGAGACTGATGAATCTAAAATGCATTTCAAGCATGTGTCTGCCCACCACCAATCAGTTCTTGCAGCTGGTATTGAGATCTCCCATCAGAACTTCCAGCATCTGCAGTACAAAGCCAGGTGAGTGCTTTAATAAACCCCTCAATAATGTGATGTGGTCTTGGCAGCAAGAGCAGTAGCTGATAACCTTCCCCTGAGTCAGAAGCATATTCTGCAAGTTCAACCTGCATATTTTTTATATACTCCATCAGCTCAGCATTTTCTGGTAACTGAATTAAATTTATCTGTGTTGCTTTGTGTTTTCCTATGTTTGCCATACTATTTTAAATGTCAGTTCCTCAGGTACCTGACTTTTCAGGAGGAATTTCCAAATGGTAGCTACATAAGGACTGTTTGGCCTCCAAGATCTGGCAAAAAAGGGTGCATTGTAATATGTGTTGAGGTAAATTTGTGGGGTTTTTCTGTGTAATTTATGATACTAAGGGAACTTTAAGAGTCTTATATTTGGAAGGGGGAAAAAAAAAGCCTAGAATTCTTTTTGAATAAGGAAGAGATGGTAGTACTAATCTGTGATGCAAAAGTCATCTGATGGATTTACTTTGTAAAGCTGCAACTGGGCAGTGTTTGATTTTCAACCAAAAAAACCTTTCATTGCTTGGTAGGGTTTTTTTGGTTGTTTTTTCTCTTTGGGTGGAGTATTTGGTTTTGATTGTTTCATTTATCTGGTGTCTTCCTGTTAGATGGCTGCCATATTCTCTGCATTAAAAACTATTGCTGAGGTAGCTGAAACACAGAAATGGGTTACATGTTGTGGGACTCAGATTCAGTTAAAGAAAGAAACTGAGAGTTTCTAGCCAAGCAGACGCCTGGGAAAGAGCTGGAGAGAATGTAAATAATTCTTTATCTCTCTTGTTTTTCACATTGTTTATAGTTGAGTTCTATCACTGTGCATCAAGCACTCTGCACCAATGCTGTGGCTTGTTTTCACTTCAGGACCAATGGATTTGGTCCTTGCGAAGCTCTGTATAAAAGAGCAGTGTATTTTGAATAAATCAGAGTTTTAGTATTACAGCTTTCTGAGTCAGAGTCTCTTCATTCCTGTCCTGCCCCGACACTGACAAGATGTCTCACAGAGTTCTCGGGCACCTCAGGTCAACATGTTATGAGGTATTAAAGAGGCAAATAAAGTGACCAAAAAGATAAGAGTGATCCGTTTTTACAACAGGCAAGTAAAATTCTGCTGAGCTCTGTGCTCAGGCAGCTGCCTGTGCTGCTGTTAATATACACTAGTTCACACTTGCTGTGCTCACACTTGTTTGGGGATGCAAATTTTATGTTGTAGTCATCGCTGTTGCTGTAACTCTGAGACCTCCTGGAAAGCTCGTCCCTCTCCATGTAGTCCTGAAGGTAAAGCAAAATCCCCTTAGACAGTGGTAGACTATGACCTGCTCACTAAATCTTCATCATTGGCTCAGCTCCCGCTTGTAATTCTCTTTTTGAGTGCAGAAAAATGTGCTGGAGAGACTGAAGGAAAGCTAAAATACTTGGCTTAGAAGGAGGATTCCTTCTTTGTCAGAAGCAGGAAAATCTGTGAAAATCACCTGAGAGTCAATCTGCATGTGTTGAGTTCCCATGTTGCAGTACTATAAGACATAAAGTGTTATTTTATTATTAATGAGTGGGTGTCCACTTCTGGTGTCTCAGCTGATAGGGACCTTCTTCCATAACTTGTGGGCTGACTGTGGATGCTGAGGTGAATAATCTATTTTAAATACTCACTGGTTTGCTTCACTGTTCACTATGCAATTGGAAGCATTTATCATTTTTGAGAAGCATATAATTATAGCTTTTCTTTTATGTTCTACATTAAAGGGCTCTGCATATTTATTAGTGGATGCATATTTATTAGTAAGCATTATATATTTCACATTTGTTTGTGGTCGCCTGTATTTCCTGCTGTTAGCAGTCCAGCAGAAAGCCGAGGGAGTAGCAGCAGGAGTACAGGAGTAGCAGCACTTAGGCTTTTACACAGGGTTATCTAAAGAACAACACATTCACTCAGAGCTATTTTCAAAATATGGATATTTAGAGGTAATCACAGACAACTAGGCAATAATAACTGAAATGCATCTTCTGTATGACTGTCAGTGCTTCCTTTATATTTATAAACTTCCAGTCATGTCACATTTTGCCCTGGATGTTTTTCATTTCATATTTCAAAGGAAAGTGCTAATTTTTTAACACAGTGCTGATCCCTGTTTCAAGGCTGGTTAAGTTTGGTGTTTGCTTTCTGCCAGCAGGGTTTTACACAAATGTGTACACCCTTTTTTTGATGGAGAGCATAATAAGGAAACCACTGGATGTTTTATTTTCTTTCCCACTTAGACAACAAATGGGTTATGACTGCTGCTCCTTAATAGGTCATTTTATTTTCCCTGAGGAAACAAGTTTCCAAGGCTTGCACTCTTATAGTAAGTTGCATTCTGTTTTCTTCTGTTTCATTAGGGTACATTCATCTTCGGTGAGGTTTCTTTGTGACTCTGTACATGTATTCCACAGGCTTCTCCTGCCTCCGGCTGTGTTGGGATACGCCGGAGGCACGGGTGGCCAGCCAGCGTGGGGACTCCACACCCCGCCGGCAGCCTGGGGGATGTCCCCCGTTTGCGGGGCATCGGGCATTCCCACGCGAGTACCAGTGGCTCAGGTGCACTCAAAACCAGGCGAGGCACGCCTGTGGCGGCGAAGACAAACAATCGCGCTGACCATTTCCCTCTGGGCGCTAGCAGCCCGACGAAACGGAGCCGCGCAGGGAGCCCAGCCAGGACCGGTGGGGCGGAGAAGCGGGAGGAGCAGGTGAGGGTGGAGAGGTGCCCCCCGCGGGCCGTGCCGTGCCGTGCCGTGCCGGGGGCGGGCGCAGGAGGATGCTGAGGCCGGCCAGCGGAGCGCATCCTGACGCAGCGGCGGCCCGAGCCGCGGCGGGCGGGCGGATGGCTGGCGGCGGCGGGGCGCCGCGGGGCTGAGGGGTGGCGCTGCCGCCGCGCCTCTCCGCGCCGTGCAGCACCGTGCAGCACCGTGCAGCGCTGTGCAGCGCCGTGCCGCGCCGTGCCGTGCCGTGGTCGGCCGGGCGCCTCTGCAGGCTGGCCCCCTGCGGCTACCTGCGGGGCGGCAGCGGCGGGCGGGCTGCCGGGATGATCCGGTTCCGGAGCTCCAGCATCAGGTCGCTGAGCGCGGAAATGAAATGCACCGTGCGGCTGCTGGACGACTCCGAGATCTCCTGCCACATCCAGGTGCCGGCGCGGAAAGGGGCGGCGGCGGCGGGGCGGCTCGAGGGGCGGTGGCTCTGGGTGCCGGGTGCGGGCGGCGGCTCGCTGGGCCCGGGCGGCGACTCGGCTCGGCTCGGCTCGGCTCGGCTGCGGCGGGAGCTCCGCTCCCCGTTCTCGGCGGGGGCTCCGCGCACCAGCGGCGCGGCAGCCGCGGCTGCTCCGCCGCCGCCCGGCGCTGCGCCACGGCGCTGCACTGCACGGCGTGGAGCCCGCCCGGCCGCCGCCCGAGCCGCGGGATCCGTCGGGCTCCGGCACTCCCGGCACAGCGTCCCCGTTGGCGAGAGGGGCGCTCTGGGCTGCGATGGCCCGGGCGAGGAGGGAAATCCCGGCGGCGACTTCCCCGTCCCGCGAGGCGGTAACGGGGCGCCCCGGCCGGCACGGCAGGCTGCGGAGGCGGTGTGCGGGATACTCGCTCTCCGATACCGGGAAACCCTGCCTTGGAAACAAGGCCCGCGGCGTGCGGTGTCGGGAACCGCCGTTACCGAGATAGCGGGCAGAGTTCAAAATGAAGCTCTGCCCCTCTTCCTCTTCATATAAGACAAAAGATAACTTGGAGCAGGCTTTTCAGTGATAGTAGCTGCTGTGCGGTTGGGGAAAAAAAAAAACCAAACCAAAAACCCAAAAACCAAAAATCAACTTCGCCGTAGTTCCTCTTCCTAATTACTTAGTCCCTCTTTTTATTCCTTCAAGTAATAAGAATAAAGATGCGAACACTGAGGAGTCTGTGATTTTGTGGTGGAACAGCAATGTTTGTAGTGTGTGAAAGCAGGGGTATTTCAGGTGTTCTAGCAGGACCTGTAACTCTGGTTACACTATGGAAGACTTACAGATTCTTACAGATTTAACTGCAAGCATTATAATCAAGTTACCTTCTGAAATTTCCAGAGTGTTCACAGAATAACAAAGATGAACTTGGCATCCAGATCAGAAGATGTGAGTGGTCTTTTAGGAAGTTGTTTGTCACTCACAGTTGATACTTCTGTCTCTCTGACAGAAAGAACTATAGTTTTAAATTGAGTTGGTAATCTTATACTAAGACCATTACGGCTGAAAATCTCCAAGTGCCATGAAATGCAAGTTCCATTTTTTCTGGGACTATGAGATGGTTTTTTTTAGTTCCAACAGAACTATTTAACACCAGAATACAGAAAGATGGTTCCAATTTAAAGGGACGTAAAACAATCACCTAGTCCAACTGCCTGACTGCTCCAGGGCTGACCAGAACATAAAGCCTGTTACTGACAGCATTGTCCAAGTATCTCTTTTTAAGGCACGGGCAGGTTTGAGGCATCAATTTCATGAAGCCTGTTCTAGTGTTTGACCATCCTCTTGGTAAAGGAACATTTCCTGATGTCCAGTCTGAACCTTCCCTGATGCAGCTTTGAGCCATTCCCATTCCATGTTGCTGGATGCCAGGAACAGACCAGCACTCCCTCCCTAGGTAGGGAGCTCCCTCTCTCCTCCTCAGGGAGCTGTACAGAGCAATAAGGTCACCCCTGAGCCTCCTTCTCTCCAAACCAGACAAACCCAGAGCCCTCAGCCTCTCCTCACAGGATGTGCCTTCCAGCCCTTCCACCAGCTCTGTTGTCCTCCTCTGGACCATTCCAGGACCTTCCCACCCTTCTCAGACTGTGGGGCCCAGCACTGCACACAGGACTCAGGGTGAGGCTGCAGCAGGGCTGAATCCAGCAGGATGATTCCAATCCCAGCTGGTGATGCTGTGTCTGATGCTCCCCGGGATGGGGTTTGCCCTCCTGGCTGCCCGGGCACACAGTGCTGGCTCAGCCTGAGCTGCTGCCGACCAGCACCCCCAGATCCCTTTTGCAGGGCTGCTCTACACACACTCCTCTCCCAGTCCATGGTTGCATACTAGCTCCTTTCGAACGACATGTAACCTGGAAATAAAGGAAATTACTGAAAACATTTTGTATATGTATCATACTAGTGCTTTTATTAATGAAGAGCATGGTTATAAGCTCTATTGAGTAAGGAGCAGCATGGCCTTCAGAGTCTTTTCTTGAAGTTTAATGCAAGCTTTGGATAATTTATTTGGCACTTTAAAAATTAGTCTTTTTAAACAATCATAAATTTAAGGTCAGATTCTGAGATTGTTATGACAACTCTTTGGGCCTGAAGTATTCAACAGACTTACATGTGCTGAGTATTCCCTTCAATGCCTACAGGGTAGGAAAAAAGAGTTACTTTAACACTTTAGCTGTTATATTAGGCACGGTGAAGCAATGAGCTCAGAACCAGTTGTATGGTATTGCATTGTTGTGGCTCATTCTGCAGGCAGAAAACTCACTGTTGAAAATATTTTAACTGTTAGAGTTCTAAGGATAATTCTGAAGATCTATTATAATCTCATTTAGAACTTGTTTTCCTGAGTCTGCATGCTGACAAAAACATTTAAAATGTGCGAATAGCTCAGGTTATTGCTTTATCCTCCTGTGTGTGCATAGCTTTTTAGAAATTAGAATGAATTAATGAATCCTAAACCACTCAATTTTTTGTCTTTAATCTCTTTGTCAGACTGTATTTGAACTTCATAATGTGGACAAAACTTGCTTGGAGCTTTAGCAATACTAATTTTTTTTTTTTTTTTTCTTAATGAAGGAAACTCCCACTTGCCTGTTGGATCTATATGTGCATATTGATGCATGTTCACTAGGACAAAATAGCCTAGATGATGTGCTGCTGGGTTAACAGTGGAGATGCCAGGGTTGTGCTGGCTGGAACATGTTGGACAGCTGTGTTTTGGTCATTAAGAGGATAAGAAATCCTAATTCTACAACACTGAGAAATGCCATCAGAGTCTCCTAGGGACACAGGATACAGTAAGGAATGTGACAGCTGAAATTCTTGCTGTGCATTTTCAGGGAAAAGGGAAGGGAGATGTGTAGCTAGTTGGACTGTGAGATATGTAGATACGATTTGATACAGTTTGGCAAACCAAGTTTTACCAAGCACTACTTTTTCAAGTATATCTTTCCAGCAGTTGGCTTGTATACATAGCTTAGTATCACAGAAACCTGGTACAACTTCTGGGCAGAGTTGTATTCTAATTTTCAGATGCATTGTAGATCTTTGGCCCTAAAAAATATGCAACCAGAATTGTGTTACTCATCTAAAACAGTGGAAGTTTTAGGAAAAATAAGCAGCAGCAGATATACTTAAAAGTATATGCATATATACTGCATATGCACATGTGTGTATTTTTTTCCTTCTGTAAATTTCAGTGTTTAGGTAGGAAAAGAAAATACATGTTTCTTTTTATTATTGAAGTTCTTTCAAAGTAGTGTTTCATCAAGTCACCAAGCTAATAAAGTCTGCTTTTGGAAATTACATTTTTTTAGCAATTTGTCTAGTGACAGCATATGGTGCAGTGTAGGGAGAATCAGAAGTGAATCATGCATTTTTAGACTCCAGCCAACTAGTTATCGACTTGTGCAGCTGCCATGTAGGTCACCAAGTTGCTCAAGGCTAGGCTTGCAGCTCAAGGGTCAAGATTCAGTGCGTTGTCCTCCTCATCTGAAAGACTTTGCGACTGCAAAATAGGTGAAATGGTGACAGACACAAGAATGGGCTGGGTCCTGAGGGAAACCTAACTAATTCTTATGGTGATGTTTATTTTCCCATGATTTTTATTTGTGACCTGTAGTTCAGACAGTTTTATACCAGCAGTTGGGTGAAGCTGCTGCAGCACAGCTGAAATTAAGAGGTTATGAAAAACAGCCTGAAGGGCCAGTGGACACTGTCTGTTTCCATTTGCAAGAGAAAGAGGTGACCTGCTTGTGCAGCCTGCCTGATAAAGCACAGAACCAAGGTTTGAAAGAGGGCAGTGGTGGAAGTAGGTCTTCAAAACTATTGGAAATCAGTCTGGAGCAGCAAGAAGACCTCCTTTCTGGAGGTATTAATGAGATACTTCTCTTCTGACTCAATGACATGATGGGTAAAACCTTCCAGTTTTGCAGACTTCGGGCAATATCTTAATGTAGCAATTTAGCCTTTTAGTAACAATAGCCTAGACTAAGCCTTGGTTTAAACTGTGCCACTTGCTCACTCCTTAATTCAAGTTTTGCTTTACTCCTTGAGATGTTCAGGTCCAGATGTGTACAACTGGAAATAAGTTTGGCATGATGGAAGCTTTTCCTCTCATTTGGAGCTTATTGTTGAAAGTGGTATGAACTTTGCTCTGTTTGTGTTTATCTGTAGAAATAATGCATGACTAGGTCTTCTTGTGCCTCAATCCCTGTGTAAAATTCTGTTGTAATGGGGCCTTTTTAATGACACAGGTTTTGCTTTGAATGAGCTTTCCTGAACAAAAATCTGTTTTGATATTCCCAAAAATATAATTTGGCTACAATACTGGTTTTTAATTGGATCTAAATAGTTATTTGATTGTTGCTTAAAAGAAAAAAAAAAAATTCTATGTGTGTCCAGATTTTGAACAAGGAGAAGATGTTATTTTTAAAAACTGGTTGAGGAATCAGGAAGAAAATATAGCAGAATAAAGCTTTGATTTAGTCATGGTCTGTACTTAGACCTTTTAAATTTTTTGCAGAATTTAGAATGAAGGTGATATGAGAAAGCTCACTTCTTTCTGCTGCTAATAGTTCAGTAGTGTAGAATGGTCTTGTGCTTTGCTAATCTAATTTTGGGAGCAGCTTCTGTGCAGTTTGAATACTGCTGCCTGTACTTCGGCTAATAGTTTATTTGCTTGATTCTTTTTTTTTTCTAATTTTCTTTTAAATGCGACATACACTGTTCTGTCTGGTTCTTTTTGTAGCTCATTGATCACTGAAAAGTTGTCTACTTGATTAATATTATCTGCTTGGTCTGTGTCTTACAGGCAAATGCTAAATTTAATAGAAATCTGCTAACCAGAGAACACTATTTAAAATTCCCATCCCTCAATAAAATGTAAAAACCAAAGCAACATGCTGAAGCAGGCTATGAAGTAA